GTCTATGCAGCCTTTGCACACTGCATCCTTCGAAGGACGTGGTCTATGCAGCCTTTGCACACTGCATCCTTCGAACGTTCGTGCAATGAACCTTTGGACTTCTAGGGTGCATTTGAAGGGGCGTTCAAAATGGGGCCGCTTGTCACACTGCTGTCACACATTCTGTCTTCAAATCCAGCCTTGTAAGTAGCACCTGAATTCGAACACAGCCAATGAATATCTAGGCAGGTCTTCCTTGCTGAGCTGCGCCCCCTGGAGGGCAGGACGTGGCATCGCTGCACCAGCCGCACAGCTCTGGTCATGTTGCGTCCTCCTGATTGTACCACGTTTGTGACTGTTGGTCACGTTTTGGGGGTCAGGTCTGAGCAGCCTGTCACTCGCCTTTTTTGATCAGGAAGTGCACAAGCTGGAAGGTCACGTCACCCTCCTGGTGATTCAGCATCTGCAGCCGAACACCACCTACTGTCTCCAGGCTGAGGCCCACCTCCCCCGGCTGGGCCGCACTGGGGACCGTGGCCCCTGGTCCTGCATCACCACTCCGTAAGGGGCGTCTCCTGCCCCCTCCCTCTGCAGGTAAGGGAAGCGGCCTGGAGCTCCGTGCCAAAGATCTGGCTCTCAAAGCAGCCGGTACCACCACACGCTTCCAGTCAATGAGTGATTATGACACAACATTTCCTGTAAAATAACCAACATTGCCAAATGTCAACTTCTGTATGCCCAAATTAGGCCACTGCAAGCAGAACTTTGTGCCCACTGAAATAAAGGCGACGCATTTCCTGTTTCTGGCCGAGGGCCTCCCGTAATCCCGATTTTTCTAGTTTTTTTTTATTATTTCACTTCATCATGGTGGCCCTATATGGTACAGATGTCCAATGTCTCTGGATATCCCTACATGGCAAGATGACAAAGAATGTTAAATCTTTTTCTTTCTTCCCAAGGCCTTACTGGGGGGGGTGCCCTCTCTGAATCTCACGGCTGAACTCCACGCTGGCTGCAACCAGAGCGCTGCCTGGCTTTTAGCCGTCAGCTCGTGCGTCTCCCCCCTTCCTGAAACAGCAGTCTCTGGCAGGCCTCCCTCAATGAATGTGTTACTGGTATCGTTATGGAAACGCCTGCCCTACGATGCGAGGGACCAAGAGCTCCTGTATTCTGGGCCCGATGGTGCGTTTCCTTTCGTTATGGTGATGAAGATGCTAATAATTGCTGATGAACTGAGAAAATTATCCATGTTTGATTGTATGAAATACATAAACGGAAGAAAACTTGGAGTGTGTTTGAGAAATGGGGGGTGCCATTAGCATGGGATGTAACATTACTGAAGGTCAAGGCACTTAACTAAACCATCAGCACAACACGAACACAAACATTTCAACATTAACCCTACTCGTACCTGGCATGGGGTAACTTAGTCAGTATGAGACATGACCACACAGTGTATGAGCATTTATGGTCACATTTCACAGTAGTGATATATCCACCGGGAGAGGTTCGGGTTATAATCAAAGCGGAACATTTCAGTGTCGATCGGGACTTTAGTTTTGTGGAACTTGGCATAGAGATGTACACTGTTGACTGAGAGACAGCAAATGAGACTGAACAGACGAGAGTAAGGACAGGGTACATCGCCGTTCTTTGCAGGTATTCATCTAGTCATTACACCTAGAATACCGGCAGATTCCCGATTCTCGCAGAAATAACCAAGCTCAAAATAATTATCTGCAGTATTCAAAAATCGAACACAATTGATTGCACTTAATTTAAGAAAGACAGGACGTGCACTCGAGCTCCCAACACGTCTAATCATACAACATGGCAAAAAAGCACTTCAACATTATATTTAATGATGTCACTTTAATATAATCAATACTTACAGCTTGTTAAGAACCAGTTTTTTCCAAAAGCGTTTCCCGTACCTGGGGCACCATGGTAGGAGAAAGCGTTTAATTACAGGAGTGAATATAAAAAGCATAAAATACTCTAAGCTTGATTGTATCCCCACATGGGAGAGATTTGGGGGGGGGATCCTTGAGGGACATCGGAGGGCTGAGAGCTCTTTTTGGGAGCTTCTAACTTCAGACAGACATTAATCAGTCCCTTGCATAGTCTAATTTTCTGCCTGGAGGGACCAAGCAGGTGTCTGTCCAGGACACACTAAACCCTCTTATCGATTTGGTGGGCAGGGGTCAGACTAATTGATGAAATTATAGTACCATATCAGTGTCGGTGTGTCATACAGGTCCTCTGATGCTCACTGAATGGTAGACAACACTGTAAAAACACACTGAAAGCTGGAGGAATCACTGTGTGGCGCGGCACGGTGCTCATGCCGCACATCACCTACAAAACGTCGCCGCAGAACCGGGAGTGAACATACAGCACAATGTCCACAACGCCTATTTCAATACTGCCTACGGCTTAACTGTCCCTTTGCGGGAAGCTGCAGCAAGTTCTGGAAAATGTATACCTTTACTTTCATTTAAAAAAGTACAAATATTTTGAGCATAATCAATGCACTGAGGATTAAAACTGGCAATCTGACTACAGCCAGAATATTACGACACATTTTACGCCATGACTGTTCTACATAACGTGGACCTGCAGCGCCGATCGACCGACTTCAGGAACATTTCCACACAGTAAGAAAATCATCGCTAAGAACCCACAGAAAAATTGGGCTACTCAGCAAATGAGTACCTCTGTAATGCAACGTAAAGATCCCCTTCTCAGTTTTTGTAAGCCTATTCAGAACAATCCACCATTTGTTCAGTAGAGGGCAGAGATCAAAGGCCTTTAAACCTGTTTTTTTTTTCTTCTCCATAATAATTTACACAGTAAAGCACACAATCATTAATAGCAGCCGCAGGGACAATTTAGGGTGACTGAACCCAACATGTCACATCCAAATATTATCGCTAGAGCTCCGATCTGTAAACGAAAACGAAACTGAACAAAAACAAAAAACACTGCATTTAACTAAAAACAAAACTGATCATTATGACAGTACATCAAAGGACAAAGACAAAACAAGAAAAAGTTGTTCTATTTTTGTTCGACAGCCTAACAGAGCATGTGCATGACGATACAGTTCACAAGCTACTTTCAGACAGCACGCTAAGTGCTTTATGTGAAGACGAGTAAAACGGGAATGTGTCTTTTTGAACTGGCATGGTGTCCTCTTATTAAATTAGCTAAGAAAGTATCAAAGGACACGTACATAAATAATGTTCTTCGTATAAAAATAATCAGCACTGGTCCCAGATCAAATGTGGCAGCGTGAGTATTTTTCCCACAATGCCGTGCACCACGTTCTGCCCCATCTCATTACAGGGCTGTATGAGGCAGTTTCCACTACGACAGGAACTCTTTCTCCAGTTCATACACAGAGGGCCCGCTGGGGGCGCTCTGGATGCGGCACAGGGGGACGGTGCAATCCCGTTTCTGTCCCTCGGTGTCCACGTCCAGCAGCGAGCAGCCCCCGCCGGCCAGGTCTCGCGCGTGCTTCTCTCCGGCGTGGCGGCCCAGCGAGGCGCTCTTGTGACGCCCCCGCAGGAGGCCCCAGGCGTGCGGCCGGCCCCGCAGTGACGAGGGCCGCGGCCTGGATATGCCATTGCTAGGGGTGCCTCGCTCAGAAGCGGGGCCGGGAGACGGGGGTGCCAGGGGGCTCACATGAAAACCTGAGGTACCGTTAGCTGGAGAGTGACAAAGAGACAGATGGTAAACACCACTAACTTATACCATTACTACACAACTAACTACAGGATGATTTAAAAAAAAAGACTAAACTGAGCAGGATAAGCAGCTGGAAGATGGATTAACGAAACATTTTGTTCGGTCAGTAACCAAATACATAGACATTTGGCAGCACTGCATGTCACGCCAAAGTCTGCCAGCAGAGGGCGCCATGTCACTCACTGTTGTAACAGAGAACTGGGGCTGATTTCTTCCTGCGCAGCTTGGAGTTACTCCCTGCTGGGGCTGGGGGCGGGGCCTCAGGCTTGCCGGACGTGCCGCTTCCCCGGATGCAGGGGTGGGCCCTGTACTCCGCCGGGTTTCCAGGCGGCACCTTCTTTGCGGGTACGTGGTCAGCACCTTCGGAGTCTGGCTGTATGAGGCATCGGGTGGAGTTACACTCGGAGATGGAGGACATGGCTATCAGGCTGGGGGGGCCCGGTGATACCTCCTCCTTGCGAGAGCGCCCCCCGCTGGGGGGGCTGGTACTGCGCCGGAGGCGGGCAGCACGCTGGAAGAGGCCCTCCTTCCTCTTCTTCTCCTCGCGTGGCTCTGGTGCCTCCTCAAGGGAGGGGCCCTTGAGGGCCTCACGAAGATCAAAGCCCAGTGCCACGGAAGCCAGTAGCGACGCGCAGCCCCAGAGCGCCGCGTCCGTCCGCCGACGCGTTGGCGCCCTCTTCAGGCTATTGGTAGGCGTGACCTGCGGTGTGGTGCTGGCCGAGCTGGTGGAGGTGCTGGGGTCCTCCAGGCTGTCCGCAGCGCCCCCTGTCTCTCGCTGCTCGTCACTCCACAGAGGTAGATCGATATACACCTGACTGGGCAGCTTTACCTGTTTTGGTTTGCCGCCGTCGGGGCCTTCTGTAGCGTACCCCCTGTCCATGTTCGTCCCTGGGGCCAATTAATGGATTAACTGACAGATTGATTAATCTGTATTATAAACAGTTACTGCAAGCATGAGACCTCCACGCCACAAGGTGGCGCCGCCAGCTGATGTCATGCTACTCACCCTGCTCGGCAAACAGTGCAGCTAGAGGCACAGACCTCTGGGTCTTCATCAAGCTGGTGGACCAGGGGTTGTTACCGTCGGAGAGAGGCCTCACCCTGCCAGGATTACAGGACAATTACAACGACAGAAGCTTTCATCTGAAGCGACATACTGTATAAGTGAGGCAGGTAGTACATAACAGCCACATGGCCCGGGGGGGATGAGCGACTCGGGTTCGAGCATCGCTGGGTTTAAGCTGCCAACGAAAGGGCTGCTGGACTGATGCTTATAAACCCAGCATCAGAATTGCTATAAGCTGTCAGCAAGAGAGCAAACTTTACAATCTCATGTGTGGCTGTAAAGGAAATGCAAGCCAACCTGAACATTACATGCAGCCACATCCAGTGGGAATTTCCCACGAACTCCACTAACGAGCGCAACAGAACCGTATCCCCAAGGTCACTCAGTGACGGGTACCGAGCCGACCGAGGCCGTACCTGTCGGCGGAGCCGGCGCGCTCCTTAGCCTGGACAGAGCTGGGCCCCCACGTGCGGCCCTTCTTCCGGAAGCCCTTCCTGACGTCCTCGAACTCCTCCTGCTTGAACATCGTGCTCCGCCCCCATGTCCGGTTGCTCTCGTCCAGGGTCACTGCGCCCGGGAAAGAGGGGCACGGCGTCACAATCGCCAGGGAGGGCTCCAGGGAGATAATCAAAGCCGTCACTGCGACCGCAGCTTTGGACGGCACACCGTGGATTTGAGAAGAGGAAAGCCTCCACCATTCACAGGAGAAAAATCAGCTTCCAGTCACAAAGCCCCCAGCAAAAGGCTGATTTTCTGGGTTAAAGCAGACCTTGTGAATACCATACATTCAAATGGTTCTAAAATATAAATATATATATATTGCCCCCTAGTGGACACAATAATATAACTTCCAAACTTTAAAACAGTGTTTGCTTAGATACAGCTAATGATAATTTATAGTTGTAATACACAAATCACTGTGCCTGGAGTAAAACTGAATGCAGCATTAGAAAATGTATTGCTGTTTTTGCAATTTAGTGCCTCTTGGAGCTACAATCAGACATTAAAGTAAACACAAGGTCTCCCTCCTGGGTGCCGAGTGCAGCCAGACCATCCAGCCAATCATCTCAAACCCATCAGTTACAATTGACATGATTTCAGCCGAATATTTTTCCATTCGGAAAATCCCTGATCACAACCTCTGTCGCACGCCTGCAGTTGGCAGCCCGCTGAAGCAGGCCGCCATCCACAGAGCCCGTAATTTCAGCTGGCCAATCATCTTTTTCTTTTTCTTCATTCCCACAATGCACCAGTCGCATCAGCTTGCCTTTTTTTCTAAGCCCAGCAGGGGGCTCACACTCGCTTGTCACATCCACATCCTGGTGGTAAACATACATACTGTCCCTCCTGGCAGGGTCAGTGGGGGTGCTCACTGAGGGGGAGAAATATTACCAAACCGTGAGGGGGGTCCGGATGACCCCTACTGGGGAAGTGGCATCAACACAAAGGACTAATAATTCGATTCATCTGATGTTGCATATCTGAGAAACACATTCAGAATCTCTACAATTCTTCACTGACTGGGTGCTGCAGCTGCATTTCGATGACAGGCAGAAGGGCTTTGGGTACTTTTTACTTAAACTTTCTCGATCCAGATGTGGTCAGCTTCCTGGCCGCCTGGCACTTACGCTGGATCGCACGCAGGCGGGGGATGAGGGTTGGGCTGCTGGGGGGGCTGGACGTGTTGCTGTTGAGGCTCCGCCTCTTGTCCATGGTAGGCGAGGCCTGGACGGTGATCTTGTGCTGGAAATCTGCGGGGAACGATACCAGTGACGACTCCCTGGAAGCTGCCCACTGCTCAGCGGGCGCATGCCCGTCGGCCCAGACCGCGGCCGCTCACCCGACGGCAGGCTGATGCGGTTCCCATCCTTCAGCTTAAGCCGGCTCCGCCTGAACTTGCCCTTCCTCTTCTTGACGTTGGGCTTGTCCTTGTTCAGCTGGAAGATGAGGATGTTGAGCTCCCGCTCCAGCACGTTGATCTCGCGCTCCGCCAGCTGCTGCTCCCTGCGCTTCAGCAGCTCCTCCTGCGACTTCTGCTGCAGTGCTGCCCGTGTCAACTCCTCCTCGCGAGAGCGCAGCTCCTGCAGGGGCATGGCAGCGAGGTCACAGGGGGTGGAGTCTGGTTACATCAGTGAGGCGGTTACACAGGGAGGAGTGTGTGGTCACATGTCAGCGAGGTCACAGGGGGTGGAGTCTGGTTACATCAGTGAGGCGGTTACACAGGGATGAGTGTGTGGTCACATGTCA